TCCAGGAGACTGGGGGGGTGCTCTCATCAGCCGGCTCCATGCAGAACGTGTGGCAGCCCTTGTCACAGCCCTCACACACCAGCAGCTTGGAGTCGTCACCGCGCTGCCTGTAGGGTGCATGGGGGTGTGAAGGTGGTGACCCCACCCTTGCATCCCTCGCTGTGTGTGTGTCCATGGGGACAGGGCTCACCTGCAAGCCTGGCACACTCTGCACTGGGGGCACTGCCACCCCGAGCGTTTGCTGGGGGTGAGGGTGACGTCCAGGCAGAGCCCATGGTAGTGCTGCCCGCAGCCGGTGCAGAGCACCAGGTCCCGCAGGTCCCCCGGCCCCATGCACACCAGGCACCGCACGTCCTCTGCACAGAGACAACAGGGGGTCAGGGGCACCCCACACCGGGCTCTGGCCCCCAGGACACCCCAATGCAGGGTGGGGGGCACCAGCCACACACGCACCCATCTGCAGCGCCTCGGCCACGTGCTCGGGACACAGAAGCCGCAGGGTCTCCAAGGACTGGAAGCAGCCGCTGGCGGCGGCGCAGGGGAAGTGGTAGAAGCGGCAGCAGGCGCTGGCCCGGCACGGGATGGTGGCCCCCCGCCGCCGGCAGTGTTCACATTGCTGCGGGCACAGAGCCCCGGGGGGGTCACTACAGGGGCCAGGGCAGCCCCCACCAGTGCCCCCCCTGCCCCGGGTCTAGGTACCTGTGAGATCCCTGAGAAAACAGCTCTGTTCACAGCTCCCGGCTCCTGATCCGCGCCGCATGCCCAGGCTGCGCAGCAGCGGTGCACCCAGCAGTGCCCTGCGGGGAGCTGGCATCAGCACCAGGTGTGGGACATGGGAACACCAGGATGGGGACACTGGGAATGATGGGATGGGGATGTAGGGAACAGCGGGATGGGGACACTGGCACTGTGGCCATGCTCACCCGTGGGCTCAAAGAGCTGTGCCAGTGTCACGCCCTCCGAGAAGCCGACCTGGGCTGGGTCATCCCCCAGCGGCTCCGGCTCCAGTTCCGGGGGTCCCTGCTCAGGCCCCTCGGGGGGCTCATGCCCCCCCAGCAGCTGGCTCCAGTCGGGTGCGGGCTCAAAGCGCTGCAGCTCCCACTGCCCGTGCGGGCTCCAGTCCCCACAGTTGCAGAGGGCGCAGCGGCGCAGGGGGAGGCTGTGAGAGGCAAGCACAGGAGGTGGGTCAGGAGCACTGCCACCCCCTCCTCAGCTCCTTGTCACTCTCTGACCCCCCCTCCTCACCTGCTGGCCTGGGGCGGTCGCTGCGTGTCCGTGCTCTCCGTGCCCTCCGGCTCCGGCCCCGCGGAGGCTCCTTCAGGAGGTTTCAGGGGGTCCCCCTCAGCGCTGCCCATCTCCTCTGCGGCCACAGCCCCATCGGCTGGGGGGAGCAGGTGTCAGTGCCCATGGCAGGGGACATGGCACCAAACCTTCCCCCCAGCACCCGCATTCTCACCCAGCGTGGTCGCGTCCTTCTCCTCACTGGGCAGCTGCTGCTCGTCCATTCTGCCTCCGGCGTCCCTCGGGGGGGGGGGGGCCGCGGCTGCGGGGGGGGGGCAGAGCCATCAGGGACGCACCCCCAACCCCCTAGCCCAAGGGACAGGGCAGGTCCCCACCGAATGTGGGGATCTCAGTGGGGCAGAAGCATCACTTCCCATGCAGACCATAAGCTCCAAGGGGGTTCCTGCACCCACCCACCCACCCCTCCAGTCCCCAAGTGCCCCCCATAGCCCACAGTTCCCCCACTGAGGCTGCACAGGAACCGCATGACCCCGATTAAATTAAAGGGGAAGGTTCCATGGGGGACCAGCCCCCAGGGTGCCACCGGGACGCCCCCATGGCAGCACAGAGGGGGCACAACCAGGACACCCCTGTTCCTCCCACAGCAGGACTTGGGGTGCAGGACGAATGAGGGTGCCCAGGACCAGCACCAGCAGCAGCCCGTGGCTCAGTTTCCCCCCACAGTCCCAAAAGGGGTGCAAGGAGGTGGGTCACCCCCAAGAATTGACCCACCGGGGCTTCACGGACACCCCAAAACAAGGGTGGGGACACGGCAAAGGGGACCCCAAACCGGGCAGCACCGGGGGGTCCGGCCCCTCCCACCCCAGAACATCACGAACGGGCCCGCAATGGGGCAGCCCCCGGATCCCCGCGCTCGGAGCAGGGTCCCCGTCCCGGCGCCGCCACTCCGCAGACCCCCGCCCCCGGCGATCCCGGCAGGGGGTTAAGGCCGCCCCGGGTTCCCTGCGCCCTCCCCGGAAGGGCTCCGACGTGCACCGGGGCTGGGGAGGGGGGGGGAGCCGTGGAGGGGCCCGGCCGGGCCTGCTCTCCCCCCGGGGTCCTGCAGCACCGAGCGGGACGCCCCCCACCCGCCCCGGAGCCCCCGCGCCGCCTCCCGCCGCTCCTGGTACAACCGGGCCCTCCCGGGGGGCCGAGCGAGCCAGGCCCACTGCCCCGGCCCGTCGCGGCCTACCCGGGCCCAGGGACCCCGCAGCGCCAGGCCGGGCCTCGGGCTCAGGCCGGAGCCACACCGGCTCCGCGGGCGGTACCGGCGCCGGTAGCGGACACAAAGGGAGCCGGGGGCCGCGCTCCGGGCCCGGGGAGGCCTGGCCGGGCGGCGGCGCCGCGGCCCGGGACCGGGCGCGGGGCCTCCCCCGTTGCGGGGCCTCTGGGGCCCGGTCCTGACCGCGCGGAGACCCCCCCCGGGGCCGCCCCCCGTCCCCCGCCCCGCGCTTACCCCCGCGGCCGCCCTACGCCGACGGGCCTCGGGGCGCGGGGCGGACGGTGCTCCCCGGCGCGGCCATTTCCAGAGGAAAGTAGGTCCCGCCGCCCGCCCCCCGCCCCGCCCCGCCCGCCCCCGCCCGCCCCACCGGGGCCGCCGCGCTGCGCCCCCGGGGCACGCGGCCGGGGCACAGGCGGGAGGGGGGGGCGCCGCGCTCGCACTACTTAGCGGCGGGGGCTCGGGCGGAGGGAGACGTTGCGGGGCCGGACGTGCGCGGACGCGGAGGGAAGGGGGGGGTGTGTGACGGCGAGGGCCGCAGCGCACGCTGCCGGGAGGGAGGGATCCCTCCGCCACGTTTAACCCCGGCGGCGCCGGTGCGGGCGTCGCGCACGTGGGCACGGCGGGGCGGAACCGGGCACGGAACAGGCCACTCCCCCCCCCGAACACCCACCCCCGTGAACCGGGGCCGGAGGGAGGGGCCGAGCCCCGTGACACCGGTGCTGCTCTCGCGCTTTGCTCCCCCTTCCCCCCCCCGACAGCCCTAAGCCCCTCCCGGTACCGGGCGTCCGGGGCTACGCACACGGGGAGCCCCACGGGCGCCCCCCAGTGGGGGGGAGGACCCGGGCCCACTCGGTACCCCGCTGCCCCGAGGTGGGCACCGAGGGCAGAGACGGGGTTCGGAAAGGCAGCTCTGGGGCTGGGGGAGTGCAGAACCCTCCCTCGCCTGCACCCCAATACCCCCTATGGCACCTCCTCGCACCCCCATCATTAAGCGGCAGGAATTGGCCTGGCTGGGTGCAGATGAGCCACATGGGAACCGCACACACACACCCCCCCCAGCCCACGCTGCGGGTTGGGGGGTACACAGCTGCGGAGCCCCATTCAGGCCCAATGCTTGGGTGCTAGGGGGTCCCCACAGGCTACCTCACCCCCTGCACCCCGGGGGGAGCAGGCCCCCCCAGCCTAGCTTCGGAGGGGGGGAGGTCACAGCCAAAACAAAGTTTAATTGTTCCAGCCCCGCAGCCGCGACTGCCCCGAGCGTGGCAGGACCGGCCCGCGGCCCCACGCCGGGGCAGCACCCGCAGTCACCCGGTGCCCACTGCATGGGGGGGGGGTTGGACATAGACCCCTGCCCCACACCCAGCCCTTCGTGCACCCCAGTCTGTGCAAAGTGGGGGGTCCCATAGTGCAAAGTGGGATGAGGTGGCCCCAGAGCCCTTGTGCCGTGGTAGAGGGGAAGGTCCCGGGGGAGGGTCACATCAGGCGGCAGCTGGTGGATGTGCCATAGGAGTTGTCCACTCGGTCGATCTCCTCGATGATCTTCATAAAGATGCTCTTGGTCACCTGGGGACGAGGGGACACATCAGCCCCAGCGCTGCGAGGACCCAGCCCTGGCTGAGGGCACTGCCTCCCGTGCCCCAGACCTGGCTCTCCTTGGCCGAGGACTCGAGGAATATTGCCCCCCAAGACTCCGCCAGCTTCTTCCCTTCATCTGTCTTCACTTCCCGGTGGCTGACACAGCAGAGGGCAGGTGGGATGGCACCAGCTTCTTGGGGAGGGGGGACAGGGGGACAGGACTCCCAGAGCCCCCCCTTACCTCTGCAGGGACAGGTCCGCCTTGTTTCCCACCAGCACCACGGGCATGCTGCGGGAACAGGGAGGGTGAGGGGCCGGCCCAGCCTGGACGCCCCCCACCCCAAGAGGGGCAGCACCTACCGCGTCTTCCCCCGGCTCTCATAGAGCTTGTTGTGAAGGGTCTTCACCACCTGGAAGCTGCGGAGAAGATGGGGAGATCCAGGCACTGCCCCCCACCAGTGTCATTCCGCCCCCCTCCCTCGAGGGGGTGCGTGTCCTCCCCTCACCTCCGCAGGGACGTCACCGAGTACACCAGGACGTAGCCGTGGATGTCGACGATGAAGGAGTGGGGCAGGATGCTGTACTCGTCCTGGGGAGGGCAGAGCCCGGTCGGGGGGGGTCAAGGTCCAGCAGCCTCGAACCCCCCCGGACCCGCCAGCTCTCAGCGTTACCTGCCCGGCCGTGTCCACCAGCTGGAGCTGGAACTCGTCCTTGCCCACCACCACCATCTTGTCGTAGGCTGCAGAGGTGGCACCAGGTTAATGGGGTTCCCTGGTACCACTTCTCCCTCGTCCCCACGCTCCGAGGGTGTCTCAGCCCCCTTTGGGGCACAGTCCACAAGTGGGGACACATCAGTCCCCACCACCCGCGACCCCACGGGGGCAGCAGGAAGGGGAGGCCCCCCCTGCAGTGTGACACTTACTGCTCTCCACCGTGGGCTCGTAGCACTCCACGAACTTCCCCTCCAGGAATTGATGGGCCAAGGAGGTTTTGCCTGGGGGGGGGGGGACGGGGGGACGGGGACGGGGACACACAAGCACAGGGCTGGGGACGGCGTGGGGGACTCGGGGGGTCCCGAAGGGGGTGTCTGAGCTAAGCACGGCCTCACAACCCCAACGCAGGGCGGGGACCCGTCGTGCTCTGACCTCGCGGCTGCAGGAAGCACTCACGGAGCCCTCTACAGCAACCCCCCCGGTGCACCCCCGTGCCATGGGGTCAGCCCCGCTCCCCACCCCCCCGGGCAGGGTCCCCCCGGGGGGTACAGCCCGCCCCGCGCCCCCCGGCCCGCACTGACCCACGGCGCGGTACCCCAGGATGAGCACTTTGCGGTGGCGAACCAGCGGCATGGCCCCAGCCGCGGCTGGGGGGGGGGGGTGCGGGGGGCACGCGGGCGGGCGCGGAAACCAGCGTTATAAACCGCTTGCCGCGGCGCGGGGAGGCGGCGCCACCACCACTACACCGGCGGCTCCACGTGACCACAACACCTCCCGCCCGCCCGCTCCCATTGGCCAGGCGGAGGAGAAAGGGGCGGGGCCCGCAGGCCGCGCGGGGCGCTGGGGCTCCATTCATGAAAACCGGAGGGAACGGCCGGAGCCACGTGGTGGTCGCACACGCGTCCTGTGCGCCACCCGCCAGCCCCATAGACCCCCGCGCTCGGCCATAGGGATGCTCGGACACAGGGACCCCCATCCCAGCGGCTGCACTCGGGGTGGGGTGCCTCATCCGCCACAGGACCGCCATGCCCTGGAATGCCGCAGCTCAGCGGGATTCCCAGACACCCCCCAATCCCAGGCAGGGCTCCACGAGGGCCACAGAGTCTCTTTATTTACCCAAATAATTAAATAGCAGGGTTCTCTGTTTCTGACACAGTCGTGGTTAGGAGCAGGCTGGGCCCTGCCCCGCAGCGCGGGCGGGAGCGCTTATATTACCATTTATAAATAGAAAAATAGACCTCTCAAGCAGAGCGAGTTAGCGGTTAGCACGGTTAGAGCCGGGCCCGGCACCCCCCAGGTGGATCCGGCATCCCCCAGACTGGATTCGGCATCCCCCAGACTGGATTTGGCATCCCCTGGGCTGGATCCAGCCCTGGGGCAGGGTCTGGTTGGTGCCCAGCCTGGGCTTGACAGGCAGCAGCCCCAGCCATAGTGGTTAATAAAGTAATAAATAGCAGGAGAGCACACAGAGTCCTGTGTTCAGGGACCAGGCAGTGCTGCAGGGGCGCTCTGGGACACAGGAGACGGCTTGAGGCCAGGTCCTTGGGCCACCCCATAACACCCCATCCCAGAGACCCTGTCCTCAGCTGAGCTGAGGGCACCCCAACCTCCGCACAGGGCCGGGGGTACCCCTATCCCTCCTCCCTGGGTTCAAAGGAGGGCCAGGGCTGGAGCCCCCCATTTCCAGTGTGCAGCGTGATCTGCAGTGCAGTGACTGCGGGGGGCTGGGACCCCCTATACCTGCAGGGCCTCGTGGCCCAGCACTCCCCCAGCCAGGCGGTAGAGCAGGCGGGAGTACCAGTGCATCCCGGCCTCTGGCACCGTCCCGTTCCCAGCCTCGGCGCACACCGGCAGCAACGAGAGGAGCCCGTGGAAGAGGCGGAGCGGGGCGAAGGCGCAATGGGCCCAGCGGTGGCTCTCCAGGACGGCGTAGCAGGATGCCAGCACCCCATTGACCAGCAGGGTCCCGTGGGAGGTGAGCGGGGCAAAGACCCCAACGCCATCCTCCCTTGAGACCCGCAGCACCCGCGCAGGGCGCAGACCCTGCCCACCAGCCCCATGGGCCAGCACCGCGTCCCCAGGGCGCACACGGCGGGCAAAGACGGGCAGGAAGGTGGCGTTGGCCGACCCCCGGGCCGCGAAAATGAGGTGGGATGGGGTGAGGAGCAGCCGGCGCGCAGGGCTGGCCGTTTCGATGGCCACAAAGGAGGCACGTTGGTCCAGATCACGGTCAAGGAAGAGCAGAACCTCGGTGGGCACCAGGCGCCCACCCGGCTCCGCACCCAGGATCCAGTCGCCCTGGCGCAGGTCGGCCAAGCCTCGGCGCTCGCCGCTCTGCAGCGTCACGGTGGCGTGGCCTGGGAAGCAGCCGCCGGTGCGGATGGCCAGCGAGTTATCTGGGTGGGTGGGGAAAGCCGTGGGTGCCCTGTCCCCGCTGGCCACCTCCACAAGGGAAATGGCCACGAATGGAGCCACCCCCCGCCCCATCCGTCCCCAAAACCACCCCCGGAACAAAGCCGGTATTTTCCGAACACCCCCAGTTCCTGCGCTGCTCCCGGGGCGCTGCAGGGCCCCTTTGTCCGCCCTGCACTGACGCCCTTTGTTCGGGGCTGGCGACGGTGACATTTACGGGCACTTTCACTTTCTGTCGATTGTCATTTCTGGGCCGGATGGGGGTTGGCGGCTGGAGCGGCTGCGGGGCTGTGGGACTGGGAGCAGTGGGGCTGCGGGGCTGGGAGCAGTGGGACTGGGAGCTGTGGGGCTGGGAGCTGCAGGGCTATGGGGCTGGAAGCAGTGAGGCTGCAGGGCTGGGGGCCAGACATGGGCTGAACCCACTGGTGCTGGACACAAACCAGGGCAGGGCTGCATCCCACATGGATCAGGGATGCCAAGGGGAAGCAGAGGAAGCTGAGGGGCTGTGATGCTGATGGGGATGGCAGCCCCCCTACCTATGTGGTACCTGCTCTAACAGAGACGTGGATGTGCGCCTTGGACTCATAGTAGACCCAGTCGAAGCCGGCTTCCACGGCCAGGCGTGCCAGCATGCCATACTTGTGCCGGTCCCGGTCGGATGTGGTGATGTCCAGTGCACGGCCCTCGTAGTGCAGGGAGTCAGGGAGGTGGTGCCCGTCCTCATCCCAGCCCTCTGTCACCCGCAGCTTCACCCCAGGCCACATGTTCATCACTGCGATGGCCAAAGAGTTCACCCGCTCCTTGCAGCGCTGCCGGGGGGACCAGCACAGGTGTCACCCTAAGCCCCTGGCAGTGCCAGGTACCACAAACACAGATGGACACCAGGCCTGCAGAGGCTTGGGGAGATCTCGAACAGGCTCCCATGGGCACAGAGAGGGGCACAGCAGAGATGCCTTCCTCCCGCCAGGGTGCAGGTTAAACGTTAACATGCCCTGCGGTCCCGTGGTGTGCAGGCAGCCAGGCAGAACGGGCAGGGGACGGGATGCGGACAGGGATGGTGTCACCTTCCCCGCAGCACTGGCCGTGACTGATTAACACGGGGGGGCTGTGGGGCAGAGATGGGGGTGCAGCAGACCCTGAAGCCTGAGTCCCTGAGCAGCACTGTGGGGAGCTCAGCGCCGGCTTGGAGGGGGTACACCGGGGGGCTCGGACCCAGTGCCCAGAGCCGAGGTGATGGTGAGGGTTCCAAGGCAGCACTGGCATGGGCTGTGGGGCTCAGAGCTCCCCCAGTCCGGTGAGGTCACAGCGTCCCTTCGCAGCCCGGTCCCCCCGCTCCCCCGTGCAACAAAGCGGCTCCCGGGAGAGCGGGGCAGGGGGGGCGGCAGCGGCGGGGGGGCAGGAATGTGCCCGGCCCGGCCCGGCCCGGCGACAATGGGCTCCTTCCAGCCCGGAGCTGACCTCAGGCTCCGGGAATGCCGGAGCGGCCACAAAGGGCCCTTTCAGCCGCCCGCACCCCGGGGCGGCCCCGCGCCCCGGCCTTGCCGCCCCGGCCCCGCCGCCCCGGCCCGCGGGAGCCGCCGCCGCCGCCGCCTGGACCACTCGCAGCATCCCCCATCTCCATGGCGACCGCGGAGCCGGCCCTCGCCATGGCAACCGTGAGCATCCCGGCGGGGCGAGGCGCGGCGCATCCCGGGCTCTCGGCGCCCTGGATTCCCCTCACCCCGCCCCGGGCACACGGTTACCGGGGCCGCCCCCTCCCCGCTGCCCGCCCCACCGGCACTGCCCCGTTAATCCCCGACGGCGGCTCCTTAATGCCCAGCGCGGTGTGACCGCACCATCGTCCGGGGCCGCCAGTGCTGCCGGCCCCGAGGTGGGTCGGACCCTGCGCCCCGGGAGGGTCGGTGCCGCCAGGGGAGGATCGCTGCGCTCCCACCCGCCTCCCCGCCGCCAGCACGTCCCCGTACCCCCGGGAGCGAGGCCGAACCGGGCGCAGCCCCCACCTCGGTCATGAGCCGGTCCGCGCCCGTATTCTCCTCGTCCTTGAAGATGATGTCGGGGTTGTAGTTGGGCACCAGGTCCCTGAAGCGCTCCGAGCCCCGCAGCACTTTGCCCTCCGCCTTCCCGCTCGCCCCCAGCGTCTGCTCGGGCACGTTGGGCACGAACTGCTTGTAGAGCAGCGGCGAGAGCTGCCTCCGCCCCAGCCGCCGCCGCCCCACCGGCCCCCGGCCCGGCCCGCAGCCCAGCGCCGGTGCGGTCAGCAGGCAGGCGGCGAGGCCGAGCAGGCCAAGGGCGAGCGGGCTCCGCCGGGGCATCCTGGCCACCGGCCCCCGCTGCCGACACCGGCCCCGCTCAGTCGCCGGGGGCACGGGCGGCCGGGGGGGGCATGGTCCCGCTGGGGCGGCCCCGAGGCTTTTAGAGGGTCGCGGTGCCAGGGGCGGGTCGGTGCCGTTTCCTTCTCACACCCACGGCCCCGTCGCCGCTGAGGGATCCGCGGCCGCCCGGAACGATTGACCCCCCCCGCCCTCCCCGGTGCCGCCACCCACTGGGGGCGCAGCACCCGGGCACCGGGACGGCCCCCCCGCAGCCGGCTCCGCACCCAGGGGCCCGTCACCCTCGCGCCTGGCGCCGCACCCCTCGACACAGACCGAGCCCCGGGGAACGCGCTCCTCCCGCTTCGTCCCGGTACCGGGCACCAGGCACCGGCGCCCCTCGCCCCAAACTCGCCTCCTCTTCCCGTCTGAGCCCTGCTCTCTGGTAGCGGCTCCTCTCTCCGCTCCCCGCACGGCCCTCCGGTACCGAGACACCCTTATTCCGGTCCCAACGCGGCGCTTCTGGTCCCGGGACCCTTCTCCTATCCTGTCACCGCCTCTCGGGACCGGGACGCCCCCTCTCCTGGCGCCTGCCCCGGTCCCGGCTGCTCCTCTTACCGGGGACACCCGTTATTCTAACGCTGCACCGCCGGTACAGGCACCTGCTCCGTTCCCTGACACAGCCCCGCTCCCGGGACCTGCTTCCTGGCAATGCCCCGGACCCCGTGTTCAGTCCGACCCCCGGTACCGGTGCCCGCTCCTGGCAGAGCCCCGGTACCGGCTCCCCTGGGTGCCGGTCTGCACCGAGCGCTGCCTCGGCCGGCTGCTCCCACCTGCGACCGCTCGGCTCCGGTCCTGGGCAGCCCCGCCTCGGACCCGGCCCCCGAGAGCGGCGGCAACTGCGGCCACATCCCCCGGGGCCGCCCCCGCCGCGCTGCCCTGCCCCGCACGGACTGTCCGTGCCCCGGGACACGGTCCCCCCGCCGGGACCGGGTCGGCGGGGATGGAGGCACCCCCGGGGCTGGGACCTCGCTCTCCCAGGAACGGAGGCACCTCCAGAAGCAGCTCCCCTCACCCCGCGCCAGGACCTTGCCCTCCTCGGGGCTGCGTTCGTGCCCCCCAGCATCCCCCAACACCGCGGAGAAGCACCCAAAGATGCCGGGACTCCGTCGAGGGCAGGAGGCAGCAAGGCAGCAGCAGGGTGGTGGAGGGTTGGGAAGGGGCCGGGGGGGTGGGCCCGGCCCCCTGCTGCTGCCCCAGTGCCAGTCCGGGGTGACTGGGAGCGGAGCAGGTCGCGGGGAAATCGCGGGCACCGATGGCCTCATTTCCTGCAATATAAAGCAGGCTTCCTGCGCTTCCTGCCCGGCCCCGGCCGGGTGGGGGGGTCGCGGGGGGGTCCGGACCCCCCAGCCCCGCGGGGGGGGGTCGCCCTGGCTCAGCCCCAGCCAGGGCAGGATGGGTGGGGGGGGAACCAGTTCCTGGGGCAGTTTCCTCTTCAGCTGCATGACACCCCCAGCCCAGGGGGGCAGGGACCGACCCCCCCTGGGCCCCTCAGACCATCCCTTCCCGCACCCCAAAGCGGTCGGTGCCCCCCAAGGCTGCTGCTCCCAACTTCAGCCCTACCTCGAAGTTGCTCCTTAACCCCAGCCAGGATGAAGCTCAATATTGAGGGAGCATGGGCAGGATTGAGGCCCCTCACGGGCAGCCCCCCCCCCCCCTCCCCCCGGGCTCAGGGTAAATAAACCCCTGCAAATGTAGGTATTTCTGTATAAAAAAAAGGAGACTCTTTATTGCTCCAACCAAGTTCGATGGTAACAGAGACCTGACAGACTCATCACACCAGGGGGGGCTCAACCTCAGCCCTGCTCCTCCCTTGGGGAGGCCAAAGGCCTGGAGGTGGGGGACAACCAGTGTCCCCCCCTAGTGTGACACGGGGTGATTCTGGGCATGGAGGGACCACGCGCCCCTCCTCATAGTGTCTCTATGATGCTTTTACATGAGGTATGTAAACGGGACAGGGGGGAGCTGCTGCCAGCGCAGCTCCAGGGCGGGCTGTGACAAGGACGCGGCTCAAGGCCAAGGCTCAGCAACGCAGCTGGAAACGGGCAGCTCCCCCCTGCAGAGCCTCAGCCCTCCCCGGAGGGGGCTCCAATGTCCCTGAAGCACCATTGGGACCGTGCAGTGACAGAGGGTGGCACGTCCCTGTCCCCAGCACTAGCAGGGCTGGGTGAGGCGCCGGGAGCACGGCATAGGCAGAGGCAGCTTGTGCAGACCTAGGCAGAGGGAGAGGGTAAGAGGCGGGGAGGGGAGGACAGGACACAACTCCCACCCCAGCCCCGTGTCCCCCCCTCACCGAAGGCGTGGATGAGCTCGGCCTGGACGGCCCATGACACCCTCTTGACCAGGCAGAGGGTGGTGAGGGCCGCGAAGCCCATGTTGTACAGGAACACAATGTAGAAGTTCCCCAACCAGTTGAAGCGGCCAAAGTCCCCCAGGAGGTCGAAACGGGTGATCCCTGCGTGGGGCAGGGGGGGAGTCAGGGCATGTGGGGACACCCAGGGCTGGGCTCACCCTAGTTCCCCCCACAGGACTCACCCAGTGTCCTGGAGAAGACGGGCAGGGCCGAGCTGAGCACCAGCAGTGAGACGCAGTTCCCGATGATCTGAGGCAGGGAAAGGAGTGTTCGGGAGGGCAGTGCTGGGGAACGCGGACCCAGTGCTGGAGCCCCATAGGGACTCTGTGCCTGTGGTATCTGGATGGGGACACACACAGAAAGCCCATTGTTCCCACCTTGGTGAGAGGGGTGTCCTGGCGCACTGGAAGCAGGCGGGTGAACAGCGGAGAGCTGTAGAAGCCCACAACAGAGGAGACCATCAGGTACCTGCGAGGGGTGTTAAGGAGGAGAACGGGCAACCCTGGGGACAGCGCTGGGGCCACAAGTGCCCGCTGGAAGGATACAGGATGAGGATGACCTGGAGGGCAGCTCCAAAGGAGCCGAAGATGGAGAAGGAGACCTGGCCCAAGGAGGCGTCCTGCTGGGAGAGGAGGAGATTGTGGGACTGATCCCATAGGACACACTCTTCTCCATCCCATCATCTCACCTGAGTACCTGAATGCCCCGTGGCATCGCGGCATCATCCAGCATCAGCTCCAGGACATGGAAGCAGACGATGAGCACAGAGGTGCCCTGAGAGGAGCAGGGAGGGGTTGAGGATGTTTGGGGGCGACCAGGACGAGCTTCAGCTCCCCTGGCTCACAGGGACACTCACAGTCAGCGCCAGGAGGCCCAGCATGGCCAGGGGGTAGCCCAGGTTCCTCTGCCAGGGAGATGCTTGGTGCCGCAGCTCTGGGGGGGGGGATATGAGAGGGGTGAGAGGGGAGCACAAACCCCAGCTCAGGGCAGCAGATTGATGGGTGTCAGTACAGGGGGTTACAGTTCCCACCCTCTCGGGGAACTGGTGCTCCCAGTGCCAAGCTGGAGGGAGCTGGTTCTCCCTCAGGCTCCTCACCCAGCTTCCGCCTCTTGCTCCGGATGGTGAAGAGCTGCTCCTGCAGCAGCTCCATGTTCAAGTTGAGCCAGCAGGAAGCTTTGCCTGCCAGGGAGGAGATGCTGAGGGGCTGGAGGGCAGAGGGGCCCCCATCCACGCTGAGAGCTCCCCCCCCCCAGGTTAGTGTCTGTGCTGGGCACCCACCAGAGCAGATCCTGCGGGACACGGTGGCTTCCTCCAGCCTTGTGCAGCTCAACTGCTCGTCCAGGTCTTCCAGGAGCTGGGGATGGGTGAGGAGCCCATGAGCAGCAGGCAGGAGGGGGGTGGGTGCACCCTGCACCCAGGATGTGGGACCAGGCACGCCCGGGGGGTCACAACACCTTACCCAGGGCTTCACCAGCAGCTGCCCCATGACAGTAAACATGGTGGAGAGGCCAAAGGGGGTGCACACTGCAGTGAGAGGAGAGGATGAGGGGGGACCCAGCATCCTACCCCTCCCTGCACCCCCATAACAGGCCGGGATAAGGGCTGGACCCTGTACCCAGCCAGGCACCCATGGGACCAGCACCCAGCCCAGAACATGCCACAACCCAGGACTCACGCAGCAGCAGCAGCACTCCAAAGAGCGAGATGCAGGAGTAGAGGTAGGGCAGGTAGTATTCCCAGAGGTCTGTGGACATGGCAGGGTCAGGCCAGCTGCACCAGGTATCTCTTCTTCCCTTCAAGGCCTGGTCCTGCCCTGCTGGAGCTCCATGAGCCCCAGGCACTCCGGCTGCACCCACCATAGAGTGACTGGCGACTGGCCGCGTTGTTGCCCATGATGGCAGAGGCCACCCAGACCATACCCAGCACCAGCAGCGTCAGCAGCAGAAGCACCACTGAGGTCTCGTACACCCTGGCCACAATGCCCTGTGGGAGCAGGGTTAGTGAGGGGCCGGGGACAGGGGAGGACAAGGGGGAACACCACACCCACCTTCTTGGATCCTGCAAAGCCCTCGGACTCGGTGAAAAAGTAGGCAAAGGGCATGAGGAAGACAAGGGACAGATTGGAGAAGAGGAAGACCAAGTTCCAGAGGCCTGGAGAAGAGGAAGACAAGAGCGGGGTGAGCTCCTGGGGTGGAAGACCCTGCCCCACAGCCCTTGGGGCATCCTGCAGCCACCCTGTGCACCCACCATGGACAAGGGACCCATTGAGCCACTGGATGTAATAGTTGCGGGGGAAGGAGAGCAGCACCTCATTGCTGATGATGGAGAAGGGCAGGAGGAGGACAGCACCCAGTGCCACAGCCAGGGTGAAGGTGCAAAGCCCCAGCCTGCGGGTGGGACCAATGTCAGCTCCCATGGTCACCAGACACCACAGGATGGGGGGCCCTGGTATCCCAGCTCAGGAGGAAGCGTCAGATGGGCAGGAACTTACGCGATCCTGTTGACAGCAGCATCCTCATCATCGTGCTCTGAAGAGGGGAACATCCCAAACCATTTGGGCTGAGGGAGGCTTCCCTCCTGCCCATCCCAGTGCTGCAGAAACCTTCTTGGGGTGGTCTGGGCTCTGCTCCTGTCCCATTGCACCCAGGGTTCCCGGGGGGGTGATGAGGAACAAGCCCTGGGGAGGCTGAACACAGCTCCAGCAGCTCCCACTCTCCTACCTGCTGCGAAGTCCGTGTGCTTCTTGAAGTGGGTTATAATGAAGTGGCAGAGGATGTAGAGGCTGGTGAAGAGCAGGGTGCAGATCTGCAGGCAGAGGAGTGCAGGCAGTGCAGGCAGGGATGGGGGCTCACCCATGGGTGCCCACAGGCTGCCACAGCACCCAGACCGGGGGACTCAGGACAGGCCGGAGCCCACAGCTCCTGCCCTGCCTGCTCCAGCGCCATAGGAGCAGCCTTGAAGCAGGCACCAGGGCCGCTGCAGTAGCGCTGCTGCCCCTGCTTGCGGCATGCGGGGAATGCGGTGACCTTTCATCCCAACAGGTACGCAGCAGCACAGGGAAAGGTCTCCTGAACCTGCCACCTTGGCACGGGTGGAGCGGGGCACCTGCAGCACAGCTGGTGGGGGCACAGGGAGCCCCAGGAGGTGGCCCAGTCCAGAGGGTTCTCCCGTCCCTGCTTGCACCCAGGGACCCCCAACACCTCCTGCACCCAGGGAGGTCGGGCTGGATGAGCTCCACACTGGCTGTGCTGAACCAAGAGTTCCTCAGGGTGGGTTTGGGGAGCTCCTGGCCAAGGTGGTCCCTGACACCTCCTCATCCTGGAGGACCCTCAGGAGACACTGGGCCGAGGACACCCGTGTCATCTCCATCCCAGAGCCCGCTGCAGCAGAGCAGGACCTGAGACACAGGCCTAGCCTCCCTGCATTGTGCCCATGTTTTGGGGAGGCTCCTTCCTGGTGACACCAAGTGTTGGCCCGGGGGCAGTGACAGAGCCAGGGGCCTTGCTCGGGTCTAACACACTGCACCCTGGCACTCTCCCAGGGGCTCTCTGGTGGGGCAGGCATGGCCCAGCACCGGGGCTCCAGCAACTTCATTGCCTCCGGGACAGGGCCAATAGAGAGGTCATATCGGGGTGCAAGGTCACGGCCCAGACCGGGACCCTCTATCCATGGGGCACATAGCAGCCCACAGTGCTCTGGCACTGATAAGGGCAGGGTGTGGGGCACAGCGCCAGCTGAGCCGCAGAGCTGCCGCCCGTCCAAAGCGGGGGACTCCGGGCTCCGAGACCCTACCCGCAGCTCCTTGCCACACCGGGCCCATTCCCCCGCCCCTCACCGCGGAGCCCTCGTACTCACGATGCACTCGCGGACCCGCTCATGGAAGAGCTGCTCCCGCAGGGCCAGCGCGTCCTGCTCCGTAGAGGCCATGGTGTGGCAGCATGGCCGGGCCAGCGGCGGCGGGACGGGGCGGGCAGCAGCGCCCGGTGCTACCGGCGCGACCCCGAGGAGCGCCGCGCCTGACCCCGCCCTCCACGTCCGGTACCTCGTTACAATGTATCCGTGCCTCCACGTCCCGAAAGAGCCCCGCTAGGCCCCGCCCCTTCCCGCCCATTGGCCCGGGGAGTAAATGAAGCGCCTCTCATTGGTGGAGGGCGGAGCAGAGCACTCTGATAGGCTGAGGGGTGCCGCTTTCCCCCCCCAGCGCTCCCACCGGGAGTCCTCCAGGCGGGCGCAGACGGGGCTAATCCTCGGTCCAGCGCTGATCCCGGGGGTTAATCCCCGCCAGGGCCGAGCTCTCCTCCAGGGGACACCTTGAGCCGAGGCAGCTCTGGAGGGAGCCCAGGGCACCCTTCCCCCCCCATAGCACCAAGGGAGAAGAGGAGCATAAGGGCTATGCAGAGCACAGCACCCAGCAAGAGCGCCATCATTCCCAGCCCCTGGCTGGGCACAGACAATAGGGACAGTCTGTTCCCATGGGCTGGGGCCAGGCGCTGACACAGAGGGTTTGTATCCAACACAGGGGCAGCCTCTCTTAAAGCCTTTTATTCACAGACATGGTACAGACACATGGAAAATCGACATGATCACATTGGAGAACATGAGCCTGGAGCAGCGCAGCCCCCCCCCCCCTCGCGGGGCTGGACCCCACCCAGTGCACAAGGAAGCTGCAGTGTTTGAAGCAGACATTTTGTGGACATGCTACAGTGACAGAAGGAACCTGGTGTTCACTATTCCTCCCCTTCCTCCTCTCCCTCCCCTTCCACAGAATCCACCCCCACCTCCTCATAATCCTTCTCCAGCGCAGCCATGTCCTCCCGGGCCTCTGAGAACTCACCCTCCTCCATGCCCTCCCCCACGTACCAGTGCACAAAGGCTCTCTTGGCGTACATCAGGTCGAACTTGTGGTCCAGGCGGGCCCAGGCCTCGGCGATGGCCGTGGTGTTGCTCAGCATGCACACCGCGCGCTGCACCTTGGCCAGGTCCCCGCCAGGCACCACCGTCGGGGGCTGGTAGTTGATGCCCACCTTGAAACCGGTGGGGCACCAGTCCACAAACTGGATGCTACGCTTGGTCTTGATGGTGGCGATGGCGGCATTGACATCCTTGGGCACCACGTCCCCGCGGTACAGCAGGCAGCACGCCATGTACTTGCCGTGCCGCGGGTCGCACTTCACCATCTGGTTGGCCGGCTCAAAGCAGGCGTTGGTGATCTCAGCCACTGAGAGCTGCTCATGGTAAGCCTTCTCAGCTGAGATGACAGGGGCATAGGTGGCCAGAGGGAAGTGGATGCGGGGGTACGGCACCAGGTTGGTCTGGAACTCCGTCAGGTCGACATTCAGGGCCCCATCAAAGCGCAGGGAGGCTGTGATGGAGGACACGATCTGGCTGATGAGGCGGTTTAGGTTGGTGTAGGTGGGCCTCTCGATGTCCAGGTTGCGGCGGCAGATGTCATAGATGGCCTCGTTGTCCACCATGAAGGCACAGTCGGAGTGCTCCAGGGTGGTGTGGGTGGTGAGGATGGAGTTGTAGGGCTCCACCACGGCCGTGGAGACCTGTGGGGCCGGGTAGATGGAGAACTCCAGCTTGGACTTCTTGCCATAGTCGACAGAGAGGCGCTCCATGAGCAGGGAGGTGAAGCCGGAGCCGGTGCCACCCCCAAAGCTGTGGAAGACCAGGAAACCCTGGAGCCCTGTGCACTGGTCAGCCTGGAAGAAGGGAAAAGGAAACAAGACTGATCCATCAGTAATTCTGGGTTTAAGTGGCTACCAAGTCACCCAGGATGGCAAATATTCACCCAAGGACATCTGCTTTTGGGACACTGCTCATAACCAGTTGGTCAAGAAAAAACAGAGATTCAAATAGAAACCTCCAAGACCTTACTAAAAGGATGAAATAAGTAAGAGCACAAATAAGCTGTATTCCCCACAGTGCATTCCCAGGGCAGCTCTACCTTCCTGTCTGGAGCTTGCTGGGTCCTGAAGGGGATTCAAAGCCCAGGAGGAGGGGCTTATCCCACCCAGGTTAGTACGCACCAGCTTGCGGATGCGATCGAGGACCAGATCGATGATCTCCTTCCCGATGGTGTAGTGCCCACGGGCATAGTTGTTGGCCGCATCCTCCTTGCCCGTGATGAGCTGCTCGGGGTGGAAGAGCTGCCGGTATGTCCCCGTGCGCACCTCATCTGTGGGGAGAGCCCGTTAGCACCCGGTGGAGCCCAGACTTCCTCCCCCGGCCCCAGCCCACACTCACCGATCACCGTGGGCTCCAGGTCCACAAAGACGGCACGGGGCACGTGCTTGCCGGCACCCGTCTCGCTGAAGAAGGTGTTGAAGGAGTCGTCCCCGCCACCGATGGTCTTGTCACTGGGCATCTGCCCATCAGGCTGGATGCCGTGCTCCAGGCAGTACAGCTCCCAGCAGGCATTGCCGATCTGCACGCCCGCTTGGCCAACGTGGATGGAGATGCACTCGCGCTGCGGGGACACATCAGGGGAGAGTCACTGTCATGCTCAGCCCCAGCAGTGGTTGTGTCACAGCTCCGGGCAGATCCAATTGAAAGCCAGGAGCTCATTATGGGATGGATGTTGGGGGGTCCTTTTATGTGTGGTGGAGGGGACAAAATGCGTGTTTGGGGAGAAATTGGAGCAACCATTTGGGCACCATCACCCCCATCAGGCCTTTGCCTGCTCCCAAATGGCGCAGGGAGGACATCTTACAACAGGGCCGGGGTGAGGCTGCGCCGGGAGGAAGAGGAGGAGGAAGTTCCCGGCGCAGCAGCAGGGAGGAGGCTGCACCATTGACCCGCAGTCACCAGGGGGGTCCCCATGGTCCCCCTAAAGCACATTCTCGGCCACACCCTGCGTCTGCCACCTGCTCCCGGCATTCCAGCTGCCGATGGTGGGCTCCGCAGGAGCTGTGCGACAGGATAAGCCCCGTGGGGTTGGGCTCTGGGAGGTGCCTTGGGGGGGGGATCAGAACAAGGACCCGTTGCCCCCCGCCCACGGGAAAGGGTAAGGTTGGGAGGTGCAGTGCTGGGGTTACGGGGTTCGGGGCTGTGTTTGGGGGGTTCGGTGATGGGGGGTCCGGGCGGGACTGTGTTCATTGCAGAAGGGGTGGGGCTGTGTCGCCTTCCCGCGCGCGGGAAGGTTAACGGTCGGGGCTGGGCGCCAAAAGCACGACAGAGCCCCGCCCCCACCGGAGGGGGGGGAGCGGGGACCACGTGCTGCCCCCCAAGGTGCTGTAACCCACTAAGGGCGCTGCATCCCCCCGCCCCAACCACCCCTCAGCCCATTCTCCGCCCACCCCCCCAGCTCCTGCTGTGCCCCCCAACTCCCGCTGTGCCTCCCCCCTCGTTTCTCCCCCTTCTCCCTCTCCGATCGCACTCTGCCATGTGCCCCCAAACCCCTATGTTGCCCCTCAAGTCTTTCCCCCTCCGCTCTCTCCCAATCCTGCACTTATCCTCAATCTCCCCCTCGTTTTCCTCCCTCCGTGAGCCCCCCGCCATGCGCCCCACATTCCACATTACCATGGCTGCAGCTCTGCTACTCGTCCCGACAAGCAAGGAATCGACGCAAGTACCAAGCTGCCACCGCCCCCGAGCACACCCCTATATACCGGCCATGGGGGCGGGCTTTGCGCCCCCGCCCCGCGCTCCTATTGGCAGCCACACCCGCCCATCCACACGCTCCCAACGCCGATTGGCTCATCCACATGGCTCGTCCCACCTCCTTCCTCCCCCATCCCCGCTGCCGGGCGGGGGCTGCGGGACTTTGGGGGGGGCCGGGGTTTACAGAGAGCCCCCCCCCCGCTCGGTTTGGGGGTTCCGGGGTGGGCGGGGGTTTGACCCTCCGCTCCGCTGGGCTCAGCCCCCCCGCCCCCGTGTGTGTGTTGCGGAGGGAGGGTGCAAAGGCGGCTCCAGCCCCCCCCCCCGCATCCCTCCCCCTCCGGTGCGGCTCCGCTGCAGAGGAAAACTGCGACATGGGGGGGAGGGGGGCTATGGCACGTGCTGCCCCCCCTCCCCCCCGCCTTTACCGCGTCCCGAGGCCGTTAATCTGCTTCTCTGGTCAGCCCCCCCGGCCCATCTGCATCCCACGGCGCCCCCCCCCCAGCTCTTCTGAATCTCGGCACCCCCAACCCATCTTTAGTGAGAGGCGCAGTCCTGAATCCTGCCGTTCCGGGGGGCATCGTGCCCCGAGACCCCCCCTGGATTTCAACGCGGGGGGAGGGGGGCAGATCCCGCTCCTTTTGTCTCGGCCGCGTCCTCTTCTCCCTGCGTGTCTCTCCCCCCGCCCCAGGGCTGTGTTTGTGGGGTGCAGCTCCCCGCTTGACTGCGAGTCCACGGAAAGCCCGGGGGGGGGGGGGGGGCAGGGGCGGGGGCGTTCAGCACCAGCCCCCATTTAATCCCCTCTAATCCGCCTTCCTGTTCACAGGGAGCCTCGCGGCTGCAGGGCGGCCGCATCGCGCGTCCCAGCGCGTCCTCCTGCCCCACCGAGATCCCCCAGCCCAGCCGAGGCCCCTCCGGGGTGCTCGGGCCCGGAGCGGCGGCAGAATCCGCATTGCAGCGGGTGACGTGGCTCCCGCCATTTGCCTTCCCGGGCAGCAGCGCGGCCGCTCCCGCCGGGATGCACCGCAGGGGGTGGGGAATCTCTGGGGGCACCGGAGGCCGCTCTCGGTGCGGGGGTCCCCGGGGGGGTCTGTGGTCCGCTTGGCTTCGGCTGATGCCGAGGAGATGCTGCGGAAGAGCCGGTCCCAGCCGCGCTGGAGGGGGTGGTTCAGGCACGGTGGCCAGGGTGGGGGGAGGACCAGGGTGCACATCCCCCACCCCCACCAACACCCACTCGGGTTTGACTGTGTTCAACTTCCCCTTCATTATTTAGCCCTGACGGGAGCCGCAGGGGAAGAGGGGCGGCTCTGACATTCCCCCCTCCCAGGGGCTGGGACCAGCTCTCAGCTAAGCCAGGGCTGTCT